TTTAGTCATGTTTCTGTCTCAGTCCACAAATTATGTGGAAATCTTTCTGCTGGTTCAACCCCCTGTGTAGTTGATTTACAGTTGCATCCAACCACCTTCACAGCATACCTAAGACCTTTCCTAAGCAGAAAAGAACACTTTTTCCTCTCCATATTATTGCCCTCTTCTTCCTGTGCCTATTTGTGGGCTATTGGCCAATTGCTTAATTGGCCTTTTTTGCCTTGCCCCACCCATAAATTAGGCATAGCCTTGCATCGACTACTTAATGTGATCAGGACTGCTGATTCAGGCCTTTGTACTTAGCAGTCTTCCACACAACTTCCCCTTATCTAACCACAAGGTTCTTCTTTCCCAGGCTTTCTTTCCTTTACTGGAGCAGCCAACATGTGGGAACCCCTCTCTCCATCCCCATGGGGATAGTCTGGTTTTCCCTTGTGGGGTTTGTTCATCTCACCTACCCCGCAGAACTCATACTACATGGGGGGGTGCATACCCCAAGCTCCATAGCAATCCATTGGTCTTCTCACCATCAGGTGACTACTTCTCATTTTCTCTTTTTGCATCTGGCAGAAGATGAAGTTTATTCTCATTCTTCAGATCCCCAGGTTCCCTCAAGTCTAACATTGCCTGGGTTTCTTCTCTTGTGGGAGGGGGGTTGTGTTGCATGGAGCTCCTTTGGCCACTCTCTACTAGAGAGTTTGGTTTGTCTGTCTCCCTGGTACCACCATCCTTACATGCTTGGAGACATTTCTTATCCTCCTGACTCAGGCTTTGTTGTCTAGGGGTCTTCCTGTTCCTTTTGGGGGCACTTCTTCCCTGTCTTCTCCTAGATTTCCTTTTCCTAATATGGGATTCCTCCCACCACCCACTTCCCAATGGGAAAGGGACTTCAGTCTGTGCCCAAGACAACTGAATAAGGCAGCCTCTCCATGACCTCACCCTATATCCATCAAAATCTCCCCTGGACCTCCGGGGGCACCTGGACTTTGAGGAATACCACTTATACCCATGGACACATTCTGTGTCCATAGTTGCTCTTGAAGTCATCCGGCAAAGCTTCACTCGCTCCCTCTGTACCAGAGAGTGAGCTGAAGCCATATTCACGACGTTTTCTCCACACCATCACTGAAAGAGTCAACAGTTTTTTGCGCTCCACCCCTGGCCCAGCCACGAAATTTGGCAAAGGCAAAGCCACAATCAATGTATAGGCAGTCCCATTTCTTGTGTCCAGGTTTCCCATAGTGCTAATAAATAAGGGACTGAAACTGTTCTTCCTCTGGGTGGTTCTTCCTTTCCATGCCACTTCTGGCTGTGGGTTTTCCAGTCATCCTCCCCAGCTCTGGATCCTTACATGATTGCCTATATTTCCTAGGCAAGTCTGCCTCTGTATACTCCTTTGTTAATTTCATGGCAGCATCCACCGGGCCCAGTTGATGTCACCTGACTCACACTCACATGATTTCACGGAGGCCCTGGAAGAGCTGCTCTAATATCAGAGCATCCGTTATTTCCACCACCATTTGGGTATCTGGTCTCAACCAGTAGTTGGCCCAGTCAAATTTGGGCACTGTCCTGGGGCCATAAACCTGTTCAGCTTGCTGATTTGAACTTTTGGTGGTACTTCTCAGTAGGCAACCTTACCCGATACAGGATGGCTACCCTCAGTTCTCGTATTTTCTGGCCTGTTCTTTCAGGCATATATAAGCTGCTTGGGCTTCTCCTGACAGATAGGGAGCCGGCAGGCCTTGATCCAATCAAGCATCCTTGGCTGCCCTCTCAAAAGTTCCCAGGAATGCATCTGGGTTATTTGCAGGGTCCATTTTACATAATCTTAGGCTTTGTGAGTGGGCACCATGTTCCACCTGGGGACTTAACACTTTCTGTAGAAGTTGCTGCTGAACGTTGGCTTGTTTCTTTATGAAATTTTGCAGGCTTTTCTGTTGCCCAGCTTACCAGGCAAGCAAAGCATGTCTCTCCAGGTCATGGGATTGTTGAAAGTCTTGTGGGGCCTATTGCATCTCCTCTTGTTCTATTATCAATATTTTGAATATCTGTATTTCATAGCTATAACTTAACACAGACCAAATGTAAGATTTTAGATGCTGGAATTTAGTGTTCTCATTTATGTCCCTTCTCATCAGGTATTTAGGATAAGACCATCTTAATTCTGGCATTTCCTAGCTTTTGAGTGCATGGTTTTGCAATGATAGTAAGAGCCTTTTAAATACATTTTTGCATGTAATTTCCTAGGTTTTTGAAAGAGGAAATCGAACAAACAAAAATTCCAACACTTGACATCATACCACATGGGTAATCTGCAGAGTTGGAATCTTTAGCTTCACCACGCAGATCTCTGCTATTTGAGCTAAGGAAGTAATCGTGATAGATTCTTCTGCCTGCTGTGGCACAAAAGCACACTTCCTTTTAGCGCCTGAAATAGAATCCAATACTTCTGAGTCTCTCCATTCCTTTGTCAGCAAAGATATGTGAAATGCTCTGGCAGAGGGTACCATCTGCATCTCAAGTGGCTGTTTAAACAGCATAAATATTCTTCAACCGGCTACGATATTTAATGTTTGGGTTTGGGGAGCTCTGAGTGTTCTGTTCATCAAGGAACTAAAACAGTGTTCTTGAGGCACTGAATTACCAGCTGTTGGGCTCTGAATAGAGCTGAAGTACCAATCCCATAAGGCGTTAAACATCTTGAAGAGCTAAGGGAACTCTAGCCTGTGTGGTGTAAGAGATCTGAGACAAAGAGCAAGGATCCAGTCAAATGATATCTTCAAAGAAGAAGAATGGATGGTGTGTAATTTTCCTTCCATGTTGCATGAAGTGATTTCTATGTATAGTTTTATCAAGTCCTTTGATCCTTCTGATGAAATGTGCTATAAATGGAAGATAATTGTCATATTGCTGTGACCCTAGTCATGACATCAATTGAAAATTATCTCACCAATAGTATAAAGCTGCTTCATAATATACTCTTTCTGTTTCTGAATATTATTCCACTGCCAAAAATGTTTTAGTCATCAATTATGTGGAGACTTTTCTTATTTTTTTCCTGAACTAAGGTAATTGTTCCAAAATTATTACTTTGTGCATCATGAAGAGACTCAGGAATTTTATAGGTGTATTCGATATACAGTCTACGATGTAATTATCAGTCTTGGGTGGGTTTTTCAAAAAGCACCTAAGGAATTAAGAGGATAGATACACTTGAAGCTATGTACATGATGGTAGAATTCTGATTGCTATGTATATTTGAGAGAGTGTATGTGAGCGAGCGAATCTCTGTCTGATCAAGAACTCCTCTTAAATGGTAAGAGCTAGGACCAACAAATTTGGTACGCAGCTTCCTCTTACCATAACTTAAAGCAAGGTAAGTGTTTGTGCTATGATGATGGGATGTGCATGGAATGGAATTGTTTTTCATAATGCTGGAAGGGAGGAGGCTGCTAGCAGGGACAGTTATACTCTGTAATGACCACTGCAGCCAAAGATGGGGAATGGGACAGCTATAACTTCATTGGGATGGCAGGGAGAAGAGATGGGGTAAGCTTCTGCCCACCCCTTAGGCAGTGCAGCTGCCTCCCAGGGAGCGGCTTCCTGACCAGTGTGGCGACTGTGGCCAGACCTGTGAAGCTGCTGTCGTAGCTCCCCACCCACTCCTGCATACCCCACATGCCCAGACCCCTGCTCTGAGCTTCTTCTTACCTACCCCAACCCTGAGTTGTGTACCCTATACACATACCCCCAGTCCCTCCTCACCCCCAACCCTGTCTCCTGCACACAAACACTCCAACCGGCCCCCTGCCCTGACTCCTGTACTCCCCACACCCCCAGCCTCCTTCCCTGAAGGACCTGAGCACCTTCAGGTAAATCTTCTAATATTGTATATTATAAACAATTCATTTTTAAATTGGTTTCTTTTCCTTCTACTTTTGGCTATGTCTTCTGATGTTAGAAATACTATATACGGAGCAAAATCTGGATATTTTTTAGAAAATGTAGTCTTTTAATATAGATAAATAAAACCTAACCGTATTGAGGTAGTGCAGAGCTTTAGGAATGAACTGATTAAAATATTCACAATTATAAAAAAATAACATTGCAGCTAAATTAATAATTGTCATATTACCAAACATCCATACTTATATAACAAGGAGAAACAAAGAAAACATGTTGAAATAACATAGCATTGCCAAATATGGTAACTGTTGACAGTGTTTTAAAAGAGTATTTGAGAAGTTGGTTCATTTTTGTACTGTTCTTAAATGCTTCAATTTAGATGCTGCAAAAACATCTTTCCTCTTTTTCTGTTGTGTAGATTAAAAATAAATTTAACTTCACATAGCATTTTTTTGTATCTGTTACTTTAAAAATACTTTGAGATCAAGGTACCTGTTTAACAGGTTTTTTACATTCTTTGTAAAGTAACCATGTAACTGTTAAAAATCCTAGTGGTTACATAGTTACACACACTGTAGGCTTTGCAGAGCTTATTCTGCAGAGCCTGCAGCACAGCTGGCTCCGCAGGAGGGGGGCCAGCAGCTGGGAGCCAGTGCATGCTGCGAGCTGGCTTTATGGTATAAGCCGGCTTCCAACACGCACTAATTCCAGCTGCTAGCCTTGCTCCTAGGGAGCCGGCTGCCACCCTTCACTGCGGACTGTGATACAGCTCTGAAGCTTTATACTATAAGCCGGCTCTCGGCAGACGCCAGCTCCTGGCGGTTGGCTCTACTCCTGGGAAGCTGGTTGCGCTGCCGGCTCTGCAGTATCTGCTTTATAATGCAGAGCCTGCAGCACGGGGTGGCAGCTGGCTTCCTGGGAGCAGGGCCAGTGCCCCAGCGAATAGTTCAACCATAACAGAAATAGATAAGCTGATGTTTTTTGGTTAACAGTTGTACCAGTTACACTCTTACAGCCCTACTGAATACTGTGTTCCACAAGTTGTTGGATGTGACTTCATTAATTCTGGTTGTTGTTTTTTGTGGTGGCAGGGAAAGATACAAGTATAATGGGAAGCTAGCGTTAAGGTCACATTCTATGAGTCCACCTCACCAGTCAGATGAGGACAATGCTGCCATTCAGATGCTTGTAAGATACTTCTACATTTTGTAATTAAATTTGATCTTGTTCTAGTGAATTGTTTTTATGTAGCCCCATAAAATTGTCATTTCTAATTGAAAGAGTCATTCTTGTATACGAGCAGAGAAATGTAGCAAACGGTAGTGGGAAGGACTGACTGAAGCTCACCAAAGTCTGTGTTCTGTAGTCGCCAAAAAATTAAAAAAAAAAAATTTCAAATCTGCATAAGACAAAGTGGGAGTAACCAAAGTGGATGACCCTGATTTACTGCAGAATAAAGCTGGTCAGCTGTATTGTTCCTATTAAACAATTTGGCAAATTAACTGCTGTTGACATCATCTTGTATTTTGCAATAATAGATGAAAGAAAACCGCTGAGACTTTTTTGGCTACATTTGATGATAGTTGACCTTTTGAAGAACTGAATTTTGGCCCAATTGTTTTATCCAGTGTCAGACAACTAACATTATGGTTTAGTGAGAGAGACTAAACAGACTTCATAGAATCTTTTATAGTCCTAAATATTTGATGATATTACATGTCAATTGCAAGTAATTTAACAAGAAGTTATTGCTAGGATATGTATACAGTTGACAATGTGTGCTGTTTCTCTTCCTAAATGTGGTATCTCTAGACTATAGATGGCATCATATTCCTTATGTAACTGACATGTTTTTCAGTTTAATAGAGGCGCTAGATACTTACAAAGTATTTGGTTTATTTGAAGCAGAATAATTGTTTAAAATGAAATACTGTCTTATAAAAGAAAAGGATAGTCTTCCAGATTTAGGAGACCTGGATCCTGTGCCAGGCCGTGCCTCAATATGCTTTTGTCTACACCGTGCCTTACAAGAAGGGTGTGAATTTTAGTTAGGCATGTAAAGGGTTAACTGGTTACCCTGAGCATTAACCTTAATTGAATGTTTACTGTGGTAATTGGTTAATTGGTGGCCTGACCCAGCTGGAGTAGCCCACCCAGCTGCCGTGCAGTGTGGTGGGCTCAGCCTGGCTAGAGCAGGCTCTTGCATGAAGTGTGGCAGACCTGGCCCAGCCAGAACAGTCCACTGCCGCAGGATTCTGGTTAACTGGTTAACTTGAATGGGATTTTACATCCCTGATTTTAATCTGCACTGTTTGGTTGCATATTACCTAGCCTTCGGGGACCCTACTGGTGCATACTAAAAGTTTCTTCATGCATGTTAATGTAGTCCAATTTCTAACAGTACTGTGTTAGTGTATACTAGGGAACTTTTAGTGCATACCAGAACTGTACACGTGCGCCAATTAGTGTGCAACATAATAGTGCAGAGTGAATTTACTCCTATTGTTTCTGTTGTCTATGCAGCTGAGCTTTCAGATACCATTCTGATGAATGTTACAGAAAAGCTATAAATAAAATAATTCTTTTGAGGTTTGCCAAACAATTTGGTGATTTGGCTGCGTGGAATGAAGAGCATGTAATTGTTTATGAAGTGCACATGTTCTGCATAATTCATTTCCAGGTAAAGAACTGCCTTAATTCTGTGGTCATTCCTTGAATTAAAAGTTTACTCATCTACATTTTATGATGTCTGAATTAGGGTGTAAGTGACTAGTGGACTATTCGATAAGCTTTTGCTTATTGGATAGTTGACTAGTCACTTCGCCCCTCCCCCCAGCTGCCTATATCAGAGGCAGCAAGTGGGGGGAGCAGAAGCCAGTTCTGGGGGGTGCCAGTTTAAAAGCCGGAACTCCCCAGCACTATCTCCACAGGGAGCAGGGGTGAGAGTTGGGAATCAGCTGATTCTCAGCTCCTGTCCAGTCCCAGACAACATGCCTTTGCTTTTTAAATGTATTAGAGCCTGCTGGATCTTAATACATTTAAAAAGCAGAAGTGCAGCGTGGGGACCTGGCATAAGCCAGGCCAGCTGATTCCCGGCTCATGCCAGGTCCCCCCACTATGCTCCAGGTTTTTTACATTTAAGGCTGGTGCTCAGCAGGGAACCTGGTGTGAGCAGGGAATCAGCTGGCCCGGCTTGCGCTGGGTCCCCTGCTGTGCGCCAGCCTTTTAAATGTATTAAAAGCCTGCCAGCTTTTAATAAATTTAAAGCCTAGCGCGCAGCTGGGTTAGCTCCCGGGGCGGAGAGCTAAGCCTGCCGCAGCTCTCCTGCTTATTGACTAATCTACTAGTCGATGAAAAATCCATCAACAAGTGAATTAGTTGATTAAACTAAATTTAACATCCCTAGTCTGAATGAGAACACATTTTTTGAACAAAGAGAAGCTTGCATGACATCTTAAAAACTTCTGGTTAACAAAACCTAATGAGACAAAATAATTCATGCTTCTGTGCATCACTTTTCTAACTACTGTAATGTACTACAATTAAACTTCTATTCTAGATCTAGAATAGAAAAGTATGAAATAATTTTTTCTGTGCTGTTTTAATGCATTAAATAAAATAGTTACTGTTATACTACAGTAAAGCCTTTGTGAAGGACACTTGTAGCCTAAAGCAACTGTAATCCTCAATTATTCCTCAGTTTTGGGAACTGCTTTTCTGGTCTGAAGCTGATCTGCTGCTCTTTTTGCCTCTGGTACTGTCTGCTCTGCCCAGTATCCGCTAGTCCCTTCTAGACTACAGTTTGCTATCTTCAGCCTCCTCTCTATTTTGTGGCTGGTCAACATGGTTCTTCCAAATCACCATCCACTTCAGCACTGTTCTAGGATACTGCTAGATCAGGGGTGAGCAAGATAACAGCCTGTGGGATGGATCTGGCCTGCCAAGCCATTTCATCTGGCTCACGGCTGCCCTTCCACTTCCCTGCCCCTGAGCTAATGGAGACCTGGGGACAGGAGAATGAGCCAAGTAATTGGCTATTCAAAGTATCTGGCAGCTCCCTCCCTCTGCCAGGGGCACGCGGCACCTAGAGGGAGCCACCAGCTGTTTTGAACTTCAAATGACTTTGCATACTCCCAAAGCCCCGATTTAGCCTGGGAGTGGGGAGTACAAAAAGTCTGTCGCCCTCTGCCAGGGATGTCTGGTGCCTAGATGGAACCGCCAGCTGTTCAAAATGGCTGGCAGTTCCTTCTAGGTGCCGCATGCCCCTGGCAGGGAGAGGGTCGGGTATGAGAAACTTGCACACTCCTTCCGCCCTCAGGCACTGATTGGTCTGGTGGCAGGGGGAGCAGGCAAAATCTCTCCCTGCCAGGTCACCTAGATGGAACAGCCCCTTTCCACCCAAGGCCCCACCCCTTCCTGGGAGGGCTGGCCTGTGACCACTGCCAAAATTTATGAAGTTCCCCCCTGCAAAAATTATTACCCACCACTGTGCTAGAAATACCACCTCAGTTCCTTGCAGAAACGAGGATTTTGGTCTGACTGTGTAAATTCACTCCCTGTGAACATCTCTACTAAGGCAGTCTGGGGAAAAAATATGTTCAATGAAAAAATTTGAGGTTCTGTAATTTCGGTTCCACAGTGGAATGAAACTGAGACCTTTTCAAATTTTTTACAAAAAGTGTGTGAGGGAAAATCCCAGCCCCCAGCATAATGAGTATCCCACTAACTGGGGCATTCACCTGGCATGTAGAAGATTCAGGTTCAAGTCACTGCTCTGAATCAGTCAGAGCAGGGACTTGAATCTGCATGTTTCAGGTGTGTCTCCTGACCACCAGGATATTAGCTATTCTGGGACAGGTCTTTCTGTCTCTGATGTTGATTAAAAATTCCATTCTGGACCTGAGAAACCATCCTAATAAAAGTTAGTGAAAATGGACACGATTCAATGGAAAGCTTCAGTTTTGATAGAAGATCATAATTTGACAAAAATATTTTATTGAAAAATTCCTTGTCAGCTTTACTGAACACTCAGGAAACCTTCTTGGGCTGGTGTTTCCACTTCTGTACTGCAGTTATCTTAGTCATTTGGTTACATTTTGAGGATATATAATGTTT